AATGAATTAAAGTTTCTGTGCCAAAGTATACCATCAATCAGAACTGATTTGGCGTCTTCTGGAGAGCAGCCAAAACTGGGACCATGACCAGTTCTACAGAGGCACTGAACTCTGTCTAGAACCACCCGTGCTTAATTTCCAGGTGGAACGACATGTGTTAAAGGAAAAGTCTGGTCACATTCAGAATACAAACTTCTGCAAGTACTTTAAGTATGAAATTATCAAATACTGTTCAATAAATGATAAGTGTTTTTAATAGTGCAGAGTAAGAGAGTGGATCAGGAATCGGAAAAGTGGAATAACTCTTTTTTTTCACTTTTCCCCGATGTATTCCAGCATCCAGCTGCCATGCATGTGGGCATTGTCAGTTTCACTATAGCTCTGGTGAATTTCAATGGTGAAGTCCTCTGGAAATCTTCAATAATTGTTGTTGATTGCAGATGTGTCTAGTAGTTCCCATTGATTTAGCTTGTAAAGCGGGGAGAATGGCGCTAGGCTTACCGCACCGTGACGTCACTGCTGGAAGATGGCAGGAGGGAGGGGCTACTATATTTGGACAAAAATGGCCGCTCCCAGATCAATGAAAAATATTGTTTTTATTTTTTTATTGACTAAATTGCTGACCAGACTTTTCCTTTAAAAAGGCAGATTCCAAACCTGCTCCTGCATCTCCTGGGGTTCCTCAGGGCTCAGTCTTGGGATCCTATCATTTGTTTCTGTTGGGTTGCATCTGGTTCATGGAACCCACGCAACAGGCTTAAATTGGAAGCAATCTCTAAATTTTTCTGAACTTTTCAACACCTTTCCAGGAGTCGTTTCCTTTGCTCTAATACCTCAGTTATAGCTCCTATCCTTTCACCTCACCTTGGTTCAACAGTAGAATTCTATCCAGGGTAGGAAAGCAGCTCCAGACTGCAGTAATGAATTCAAGCAGCCTTCAGTCTTATAGACATCCTGACAGACAGCTGCTCAAATTGAGACTACAGCCTTCAAGAAAAGAACTGAAAAAAACAAAAGTTATAAATATGTAGGGAATGAGAACCCTGTAGTCGGTACATCTATGTTTTTAAGCACCTGCAGGCTCATCCTGCTAAGCACATTCCAAGTCAGATGCAAATCAGTGACCCGTCTGTCGTTCTCCTGGGCTGTTGCTGCAGTAGTCAAGTCTGTTTAACCAAGTCAAGAAGCCGGAAAATGCAGCTGATGCTGCTTTAATCAGCAGTTCATCTTCCATTCTGGATGGACTACTGTAATGCTGTTTAAATTTAATCTGCTAGGTTTCTACATGGAGGTGATAAAAAGGAACACACTGCCCCACCCTGACCTCCCTCCAATGGTTGCTTGTACATTTCTGCTGAGGAGACCGAGGTCTTTTGGAGTGCAGGAGGCGCTCTTATAGACCTTCAATGACTCTGTTGTGGCATCAGCCATCTTCTATGGAGCTGTCTGTTGGAGCAGTGGCTTATCTGGAGCTGAGAGGAAGCGTCTGGATCAGCTGATCAGGAAGGCCAGCTCTGTGATTCGATGCCCTCTGGACTCAGAGCAGGAGGTGGGAAACAGACGGATCCTAACTAAATGAACATCTCTGTTGGATAATGTCTCCCACCCCATGCATGAAGCTGGTGCTGAACTGGACAGCTCCTTCAGTGGCAGACTGCTGCACCTTAAATGCACCAGGGAGCGTTATAACAAATCCTTCCTCCCAGCAGCTGGAAGATTCTAAAACCACCACTGTTCCCAACAACCTCAATCAGTTCTTCCATCCATGCTAATTTTGCACAGTTTCTATCTTAGTCAGTTAAATAACATGCTGCTTTAATTTTGCACATCTCTGATGTTGATGCTATTTTGAAATATGTATTACTCTAAAAATATACACAGCTGTATATTGGTTATTTATTCTCCAGGTGAACAGTTTTATATTGTTAAAGCATTGTACAGTACAGTATTTCATTTATTTATCTTTTAACTCTTCATTATTTTGTTATTCTTGTGCACTTTTCTAAAGTCCACATTTGTGTGGTCATTTGTTCTATAATCTTTTTGCTGCTATAAACACCAGAATTTCCCCTTTGTGGGACAATAAAGGGTGTAGGAGCTTAATTCAATTTAAGATAAATATAAGTAAATATCAGAAAGAAAAAGATTCTCATATTGTCAGGTTTCTGTTATGTTTTTCTTTTGAGTATTCAGTCTTACTTTACTCCTTGTTTTCTAGTGTTTAGTTTTATTTTCTCCATGTTTTATAGTCCTAGTTATTTGATTATCGTTTTGTTGTTATTCCAGGTTTCTATTTGTTGCTCTCTGCTGCCCTCTTATGTTCTCTCTTCCCTAGCTCTTTCCCTCTCTTGTTCTTTGCACACCTGCTCCCAGTTTCCACATTTGTCATGAATCGCGGACAGATGGACCCAGTATTCAGGAGAGACAGTCAGTAGGAAAGTTTAAAAGGTTTATTAAAATAAAAACAAAAGCGGAGCTGTGGCACCGCCCAATCTCAGACACTCTAGGGGGGGAAACACAGGTAAGTGACCACGATAAACTGATGTATGATTATCTGGGTTGGTCACTTACCTGGTTTAACAGTCCAGACCACGAGTGTCCCAGTGCTGCAGTCCCAGAGGTGATGCTGGAAGCTGATCCTGGTGAGGGATCCAGAACAGACAGGAACAGACAGGAACAGGCAGGATCCAGATCAGACAGGAACAGAAACAGGTTGCAGGATCCAGACTTCCAGGCATCCACAGGCTCCCAGGAGGGTTCAGAGTCAGACTGGGACCAGAAGCATGACCAGGTGGTCACGCACAGGAGCAGACAGGATCAGGTGCAGACAGGCAGGCACAGTGGAAGAGAGTAGCTGAGACAGGACGTGGAACTGGAACTTGAAGCAGGACTTTAAACTGGTCTCCTCCCTGGAGCCAGGCTTACTTAGATAAAAACTGAACTTCCCCCCATAATGAGCCAAAAACCCAGAGGACTCCAGGGGGGAGGAACAGTGGACAATCAGGAGACGAGACAAACACAAAAACCCTCTTTCCACTGGCTGCTAGGATCCAGGACAGGAACCATGACAAAAAAAAACCAAACAAACAGACTAACAGAAAGACAAGCAATGATCTGGCCCTGAATGCTCAGGCTGAACTGAATATAAACCACAGGAAACAGTTGAGAGGAATAAATTATGATTGGGGCAGGGAAGGAAGAGGGCAGGTGAGAGGAATTACTAATTAGGGAGGAGCAAACAGGCCAGATCATGACAACATTAGCCCCCTCTTTGTCTCAGTCTCCTTTAAAAGCCCTCTCTCTTCAGTTCTCCTTTGCTGGGTCCTCGTCAAACGCTGCCAAACTTTGTCAAACTTCCTCCAACTCCGTCTTCCTGAGTCTTCCTCGTTGTGACGGTGATTCCCCTGATGTCTCCACGGTTTCTGGTTCGTTTTGACTAGTTTTTATGTTTGATTCTTTTGGATTTTTGGATAACCTGCCTTTGTTTTTAGTTTCCCTTTCAAATTAAATCTAAAGAAATTCACCTCTGCCTTCCTTGCCTCAGCTTTTGGGTCTACACTCCATAACCAAATCCTGACACATATATAAGAATATTCAATATTTCTAATTGTAGTGAGGTTCTTTTGCAAATGTGAACGGTTTGTATCTGGATGTTTAGGGGAGCTTGCTTCTGCATCAGTGTTAGTCAGATACTTAGAGTGGAGCCGCACAGTTTTTTGACCTTTGTATTTCCCCTAATCTTCTTTTATTATTAAATTTTTTATGGAAGTGTAATAACTGTATTGTTTTTTTTATTTTTGAAGTAAATGGTTGGACCTAACAGAGAGAATCCCGTTTGTTTGTTTTTTTAGATTACAGAGGGGGAAAGAGCGCCAAGCTTATGGCTTCATTACTTAGGAAACTACAAAGGGATTTTCTAATCTTCTATTCTATACCTTTTTAAGAGTTTATTCATAGATGACTACTATTTGTTTTGAAAAGTGATCATGGTCTTTACTGTGTGAACTCAATGCATCGGCTCAGCCGGTCAGCCTGGAGATGGCGAAGTCAAGACAGAAGCTGAGAGGAGAGGAAATTATCCTGATTACTGAATAATCTCTCATTAAATTAATATTACAATGCGTCTCTTCACTGTTCGCTTTTAAAACTCCTCTAAAAAACTGCATTTTTTATTCATGACACACCCTGAGACGTTTTGTTTGTTTGTACAGTCCTTTATTTCATCAGCTTTAATTCTGTATTTTAAGTCTTTGTTTATTTCTGTTGTTTGATTTTAAATGTGCAGCACATTAAAAGTGCTTTATAAGTAAATACATGCAGCTGCAATAACAGCAGAAGCTTGTTCTGCAAAATAATGACTAAGGGAGTAAAAACAAATGCAGACCTTCCTTTTATTAATTATTATCATTTAGTAGCCTGAGTGTTTGTTTATTTTTTTTATTTTTTTTGGCTTTATTTTCATTTCATTCCAGAAATTCTCTCTACTTTGATTCAGACATCACAGAAAACCTTAGAAAACATTTTTACCACTCAACTAATAGCTTGTTGGTTTAAGAAATAAGGGATTCACTCTCTGACAATTCTGTTCAGTCTTTTTATTTGAGACTGAAATAAGAAAAAAGAAAACGGATGAGGCTCGATAAATATTTTGCAGCTAATTTGCAGCTGTTTATGACCTGGTGTTATTGGGGTTCAGACAGCTTTAGCCAACAGTTCTGTTCACTGAGCCGCTGGGAAGCACCTCCCAGCAGAGCGGGGCCCGGTCCGGCCCTCTGCGGCCGCATCGCTAACAGGACAGCTGAGTGATGGGTCCCTTCAAGTGCAGCTGTCAGTCACCAAACACAACTGTCCTTCCCGAGCCAGAGCTATGTGCTGTTGTTATTCTGGGGCCTCAGTAATGGGGGTATGTGCGTTTGGCTATTATCCCTAAATCTCATGAACTCAGACAATGGTGGTCAATGACAGGAAGAGAATAGTCCTCCTTACCTGTGGCTCTGCCTAAAGAAGGCATGGAGTATTTATAGCTCATGAGCATCCACCGTTATATACCAGAGGGGAAAGGGGTCAGGACATCTAGCCATTGTTTTGTGTACTGCTCCATCATAAGGCAGCGAGGGCAACTGCTTGGTTCTCATCCAGCTACAACTAAACATGGTGAGTAGATCCAGCTTTGGGGGCATCGCCTGACTTCCAGGTTACGCTTTGAGGTTACCTATACAGCTTTGCAGAATAATTTAGGAGCACATCGCTTCTAAATTATTTTGCCAAGCTGTATAGGTAACAATTATGTTACATATCATCGATAGAAAAAACAGAAAACAGAAAAGTTAGAGGATGACAAGAGAAAGGATGCAGCTACACTAGAAAAAATCAAAATGAGTCATTTTTTTCATATATCATATTATTTATTTTTTTCATTTCATTGGCAAATCTTATTTACCTGCCAAAATTAAGGGTAAATAAACCTGATTTAAGAAAGGCTGACTTATTTCTAGATCATTTTTGTAGTGTGAAAGGAGTTGGATTGAAGCACTTCTTAAAATAATTGTATTTACCCTTAATTTGAGTAGGAAAATAAGTTGATCTGTGAATGGAATGACCATTTTACTCTTAAAATACGATAAGAAGATATTATTTACTTGTAATAAGAGACTGCTTGTTGTTTTTCTTATTTTAGATGTAAATTGTCTTCCATTGGCAAAGTTTCTCACTTACCTTATCAATTCTAGAAGAAATCACACATTTTTGGAAAAATTACTAAGATTGACATTTTTTTTTTTTGCAGTGTATCAAAAGAAGATATAATAATTAAACCAAAAGCTGTTAATTTTTCTAGATTTTATTCATTTTTGCTAGAAGTTTACTGGCTAAAACACTGTTATAATCTAAAAGTTTAGATCATTTTACTCCTCTTTTCTTTGAAGGGAACAAGGGTTAAAGATTTTTTTTGTGATTAAGGAATAAAAACTAATGAAATGATAATAATAAAACAACAACAACAAAAACATTTTAGGCATGTAAACTTTAAGTCTCGACAACCAGTAAAGATTTTCCCATCAAGCTTCTTTGTCACTAGACCAGTTAAAGCTGGTAGCAACATTACTTCTGGCTTCAGCACAGAAACCTGCTCAAGTTCTTCACTTTAACATTTCATTCAGAGGAGAAACCGCATGAACCTACCAGGCTACTGCCTCCTCACAGCACTCAGGTTTAAGGTTTAAGCAGTAGTCTAGTTGTAAAACAAAAAAAGAAGGGGGATGGGGATTTTTTTTTTTTTTTTTTTTTGGAAGCTTACATAGCCTGATATTCTATTAACCTAAAGCAATATGCATGGTCTGGTTGTTACATCTCAGGTACTCCAGTCATTGACCTTGACCAAGGCACCTTACAGTAGAGCTGCAGTCAGTCCTGGGCTAGCATGGCTATCACTGCCCCTACAGAGTTAGCATGGCTATCACTGCCCCTACAGAGTTAGCATGGCTATCACTGCCCCTGCATAGTTAGCATGGCTATCACTGCCCCTACAGAGTTAGCATGGCTATCACTGCCCCTGCATAGTTAGCATGGCTATCACTGCCCCTACATAATTAGCATGGCTATCACTGCCTCTAAATAGTTAGCATGGCTATCACTGCCCCTGCATAGTTAGCATGGCTATCACTGCCCCTACATAATTAGCATGGCTATCACTGCCTCTAAATAGTTAGCATGGCTATCACTGCCCCTGCATAGTTAGCATGGCTATCACTGCCCCTACATAATTAGCATGGCTATCACTGCCTCTAAATAGTTAGCATGGCTATCACTGCCTCTACATAGTTAGTATGGCTATCACTGCCTCTACATAGTTAGGATGGCTATCACTGCCTCTACTTAGTTAGCATGGCTATCACTGCCCCTACATAGGTAGCATGGTTATCACTGCCCCTACAGAGTTAGCGTGGCTATCACTGCCCCTACATAGGTAGCATGGTTATCACTGCCCCTACATAGTTAGCGTGGCTATCACTGCCCCTACATAGGTAGCATGGTTATCACTGCCCCTACATAGTTAGCATGGCTATCACTGCCTCTACATAGTTAGCATGGCTATCACTGCCCCTTCATAGGTAGCATGGTTATCACTGACCCTACATAGGTAGCATGGTTATCACTGACCCTACATAGGTAGCATGGTTATCACTGCCCCTACATAGTTAGCATGGCTATCACTGCCCCTACATAGTTAGCATGGCTATCACTGCCCCTACAGAGTTAGGGACTCATTTCCCACTGGGATCAGCTTCATAGTCATGGTAGGACTTTATTTATTTTACTCATAAACCCACAGCCAACCAAATGTGGAAGGGGCAATATTATTCCCATTACTGTTAATATATAGTAGAAAACAGTGCACAAACAGGGGATGGTTTGGGGGAATGGTCATTTAAGAAGGGGGATGCCACCCCCCCTCAACTGGAGTACTGGAAGGTTTTTCCACCAAGAAGCGGTTCATATCAAAGCAAGTTAACCATTACTGTGTTCTAACAAGTGTGTTTGCTTAAAGGTTAAATTAGTGCTTCCCAAATTTCCTGTTTAGGGTGTATCAGAGGGGACATCTGTTTCTCTCTGCTGGTGCTAAAAGCAAACTGCACCATTTCATCTAAGAATATAGGCCTAGTTCAGCATCTACAGTAAGAATAACAAGATAAAACATTTGGGGCGCCAGAGGTCCTGTCTGAGGGATATCCAAGCTCCCCATAGCAGGCATTAGACCTCAGCTGTCGGGAGGCATGTGAATCCAAAATTATGTCATCGCACCGCATACCCTCGCACTGTTTTATTCACAGTTCCTCGGCACATGTAAATAGCTCAGCATAATCCTTCCCTCTGAGGGTTTTCTGATCAAACAGGAGTCAGAGAACCATCCTGTCATCATCCAGACCCTGTGGAATAATCCCTCATGGAAGCTCAGCCAGAGGACCACACCCTCCCCAGGCCTCGTCTGCCGTCTCACAAAACCAGACGCTTCAGCAAATAATACACCCATGAACAACTGACAGAGTCTGTAATCCTTCCTAACCCACCCGCCTGAAGAGCGCCCCCACTTTTTCCTCCCACTTCATCAGCTTTTTATCATCAAACCTCAAGTTTGAGGTAAAAAAGAAATAACAATGACATAAGTTAGGGATGGCATTCTGTGGCAGGGGTGTCTGCAGAAGGTTTTCAGGAGGGCGGCCATGCTGGGTGACATGGATAATCCTGTGGGGGGGTGCACACGATGACAGCGGCTGCCTTTCCACTGACCACCAAAATGCCAAAATTATGATTAAGAAAATGAATAAGCTTGGGACAGAACACTATACCAACCGATTTAATGGATTCACTTGACCCAATTCATAAATTCACAATGGAAATTTGGTATAATGTAGCAAGACAATTAAAGCTGAAGAAAGAAAGAGAAATAAGATGGGTAGCCAATGACAAAGACTTCAGGCCAGGAAGGCGGACTTGATAATAGAGACTTCTTTCGATACCTACAACTATGAGAATTTTATTATAAAGAGATCTTAATGTGGTTCTGGAGACGGTGTGCAGTGCATATCAACATAAAACTCGAAAAATTATCTTACAGCTATAAACTAGCCTAATGTCATGCCAAAAAAATACAACTCTGTATGTCAAAGAGAATGTGGGAAAAAGAAACAGTGGTCATAATTTCAAATGTAGAATGATATAAAATCTGAGAGATGACTCAGACTTCTACAAATTCACTAAAATGGAGAGAATTCAACTGGCAAAATTTAATTTGATTCTTTATCACGTCATCTATCAAAAGTAAACAACTGTCCACACAATAAATGTGTTGGAGGCAAAGTGGCATGGCTGACGCCAACCATGCACATGGTTTCTGGAACTGCATTGAGATAAAACCTTTCTGGTCTTCTATTTGCCTTACTATAGTCTGTACTGTTTTATTCTGTACCATCTACTTTTACCACAATGTATCTGGTCCTTATGTCTAATGTGAGAAAAACATAATCAATATTTGGTGAAGATATTACTGCCAGCTGGGAGGAAAAGCAATAACAACAAGGATGGACATTGTGGTGGAAATGTTCTCTATGGAAAGAATGACTTTCATTTTAAGATTGAAAAAAGCTCAATTTAAAGAAAAATGCATAACATATAAATTAGCCTCAGAAACTGTCACGACAACCGCTTTCTGTCTTAGTTTCGAGTGTTCATTTTGTTTTGGTTTTTGTCCCTTGCTGATGCTCAGATGGCTGAGATCATCCATCGATCCATCCGTTTTCTAACACACTTATCCTGAGTGGGGTCGCGAGGACTGCTGGTGCTTATCTCCAGCTGTCTAAGGGCGAGAGGCGGGTTCCACCCTGGACAGGTCACCAGTCCATCGCAGGGGCTGAGATCAGTGCATTGTTTCTTTTATTGTCCAAAACAATAAACATAAAAGCGGGGGGAAAAAAGGAAAATTACTTGACTTAATGGAAATTCACCACGTTAAGAAATACTCATATTTTTCATTAAATTGATGGATGGAAACAGTTTTTTCACATTACATTAGTCATGGGATCAAACACAAGACATTCCTTCTGGCAACACAGACAAAGGAGGTGGCAGGAAGCAAACATATTAGCATCTGATTATTTATAACATTTCTTTCATTGCAGCTATAAAGTTTAGATTTTTCAACATTAGCAGAAAAAAGAAGAGTAGAAAAAAGAAGCCAAACGATCCCCTTTCCAAAGGGATGGACCCGTTTGTCAGATTCAGTTTGCATGTTTTCTAAACAACTCAACTCTATTTCTGACATTCTGAATTGAAAAAGCTTCCTGGATGGGAAGCGAAACATCTTCAAACTTTTTTTTTTTTGGAACATTAGAAGAATAATGACAAAGTCTGACCGACATTTGTAACAGAAAAAAAAGTATTAAAAACCAAAACCATAAAGTAAATCAAGGGGCTTTGCTGGTTTCTGCTATTTTTTCCCCCCGATTATTTTATTTCTTTTCAAAATGTTGTTTTTATTTTTTGTTTTATTTATTAATTTTTTCAAACTTCTCTTTTTCAGATGAAGTTTTACAGACTGGATTCTGCTGAAATTGTGTTTTCCAGATCACATTCTCTTCACTTTCCTCTGCAGTGAAAAGCAAAGACAAGTTTCTATTAGTCCGCTGGACGTTATCAACAATATTTCTACTGGGATTGAAGTGAAGAGAATGGGATGTTTGAAAGACACAAGAAAAAAAAAAAAGATTTGGGAATATAAAATGTGCAAAGAAAAATTTTGAAACTTTTAAAGTAAAATTTCAGAAAACAAGCAAAGAAAGAAAAACATAATAAAAAATAAGAATTATTCTTAAGAAAAATGGAACAAAAATGACTTCATAGGTGTGCTGGGAGGAGATTGAAAAAAATAATGCAACCACTTTTGGCATTAATTTAATCATATTTAGTTATTTTAACACTATTGTTTTATGTCCTACCCTGCTAAAAAACGAAACAATTGTGTTAAAGTAACCAAATATGTTTAATTAAATGCCAAAAACAGTTGCATTATTTTTTCAGTATACTGCTGATGTACTTAATATGGGTTCTACTATAAATGAAAGTTGATCAAATGTGATGAAGTGAAGTCTGTGTGCAGCTGTAAGCTGTTTAGTGATGGTGGTAGGACAATAAGTGCAGAATGCTGTCAGTTTGAGCCTCAAAGGAAGGTCATGAGCATCAGGTTAGCCCTGTTGGTCAGGTAGAGTGTGGGCCACGGCCCTGCTGTTAAAGGGAGTTTGACTCTAATCTGGACGCTCTGGTTCAATCCTGCAGTCCCCTAAAAAAGCCAAGAAGAGAGCAGCAGAAGGAGCGAGCTCCAATGTGTTCTCCATGTTTGAGCAGACCCAGATCCAGGAGTTTAAAGAGGTGAGTGAGAAACCGGAGCCGGGGAACTTCCCCCTGCTTCCTCCGCTTACGCCTTACTCTGAATCTTGTGCAGGCTTTCACCATCATGGATCAAAACAGAGACGGCTTCATTGACAAGAATGACCTGAGGGACACTTTTGCAGCTTTAGGTGTGTGTTCCTCTTTTATGCTGTCAGTAAATCAATGTTTAAGATTAACCTTTAAATCTTGAACTCTCTTTATAATAAATGTGATTAATCGTGCATGGAAAGAGGAAAGCTTATAGTCAGAGCCCAACTCATCCCTCCATCCTGTTCTCTGCCTTCCTGCAGGTCGTCTGAACGTCAAACAGGAAGAGATTGACGATATGCTGAAGGAGGCTCCAGGTCCCGTCAACTTTACAGTCTTTCTCACCATGTTTGGAGAGAAACTAAAAGGTTTGTTCACACCTGGGAATAAAAACTTCTTTTTTTTTACAGTCACACTAAAAATAAATCAAATAAATACCATCTTCCACCAGGCGCTGACCCAGAGGAAACCATCCTGAATGCTTTCAAAGTCTTTGACCCAGAGGGGACAGGGACGCTAAAGAAAGATTAGTGAGTAACGATGCGAGGGGAACATTTCAGACGAGGGAGGGGATCTGTTTCACTCACCTCCACTGCTTGCTTTCCCAGTGTGACAGAGATGCTGACGACCCAGGCGGACAGATTCTCAGCTGAAGAGGCATGTGCTGATCCTCAGAGAATATATTCCTATGACATTTTGAGCTGTTTAAACCATTTATTGTTTGAATCTATTGTCCACAGATGGAACAGATGTTTACAGCGTTTCCTCCAGATGTAGCAGGAAACCTGGACTACAAGAACCTGGTGCACATCATCACACACGGTGAAGAGAAAGATCAGGAATAGATGCTGCCGGCCGACCGGATCCTGCTTGTATCCGGATACTTCAGCGCATAAACCAAAGTCTGAATAAAAAGATAAAAAAGAAAGCCGTCTCAGTGTCACTGATCTGTACTGTATGCAGGAGCTTTGAAGGGTTTCATACATTATCAGAATTCTGTGTGACAGAAAAGTTTTTCCATGATGATTAGAAAGGCAAACATGCGTGTTTTTCATGTGGTGGGCCTTTATAATCAAGTCTTCTGTAGTCCCTATTAGATTTTCTTTCAGGTTTCCCTGCATTTAGCATCTACAGGCCTTTCAACTCCACAGCATGATGCTGCCACCTCCTTGTTTCATCAGCAGGGTAGTGTTCAGGGTCACCTTTAGTTTCCTCCCACACTGCCCCCACTATGCAGTTAATTTTGGTCTCTTCTGAGCAGAACAGCTTCTACACTGTAAAAAATCTAAATCTAGATAAGTAATTTTTTCTTAAAATAACTACATTTGTTCTTGGATTGAGGTGGTAAAAGAGACATTTTGCTAATGGAACAAGACAATTTGCACGTAAAATAAGAAAAAACAATTGCATTGTCTTATTTCAAGTGCATATTATCTAATTATCTTATTTCAACAGTAAAAATACTCATTCCATTGGCAAACTATCTTATTTACCTACTCAAATTAAGGGTAAATAAACTTAATTTAGGACAATTTTTACTTATTACTAGATCGTTTTTCCAGTATATAAATATATCAAACACAGCTTCTAGATAAAACCAAACATAAATTATAGTATTCTTTTAATAGTTTTTTTCTGTCACCCCTTTTCACTTCAGATCAGATTTGCAGATGGAAGACCACCTCTGCAGTCAGTTCTCTCTCTCCTTAGCCAGACGGTTTAGATGAACACACACGGTAGAACTGCTGTTGTATTTCTCTCCATTTTCAGACGAAGGTCTGCAGTTGTGATTTATTTTTATTTTTCCAAACTCTGCTTAAACTTTCTCACAACTTCCCTTCCTATACTGTCTGCTGGCGTTGCTGTTAAGGAAGTTTATTCTCTGTTTTCCAACAAACCTCTGTGGTCTTTATACTGATGTTATGCTGCATACAAGCAGAATCCTTTGGCTAAAATGCCATCAGAACGCTGATAATATTAAGTGTGTCTCAGCTCCCCCTTCAGTGTCCACCATATTGGATCAGTCCATTTGCTGCACATGTTCAGAAAGGTCCAAACAGACAGCAGCAAACCATTTGAAAAAAAAACGATGCAAAGAGCAGTGTTGCCAACTTAGCGCTTTAGTCGCTATATTTAGCCACTTTTCAGACCCCTCTAGCACTTTGATTTCTAAAAAGCTCCTAGCGCCAAATCTAGAGACTTTTTTCTGCTACCGGAGACTTTGGAGACAACATCTAAAAGCAGCGAACTCTGCTCTCCAGAGCGAGTAGATTGGTAACCCCGCCTCCTGCTCTCCTCTATCTTGTCTGCTGTCATGATTCATGCAGCTATTATTTCATCCAAATGAAAAATAGAGAACAGATAAGCACATCATGGCTTGTCTACAGTGAAAAGAAGGACTGGGTTATTTACTTTGGCCTTTTTGGAAACACAGGAAGGAGCAATCAGCTAAGTGAGCTTAGTGCTTGGAAAAAAATCTTTCATTCCTTTAGAGACAGCATGAAAAGTCAGCTGAGTACAAAACATAGAGAGGAAAACAAGAAGAAAAGGGACAAGAAGAGAGGGACACAACCTAGAACAGATAATGGATGTCTATTCTATTAACATTTCTCTATCTGTATAATTGGTCTGTTTCATTTGTTGTATTGTCAAATTCAGAGGGCCCCCTTCCTGTTTTTGCCTAGAGCCCAAAATTTCCTAAATCCAGCCCTGCCTCCCTGTTGACTCTGTTCATTCATAATGAGTTTACGTTGATGGGAACTGCCTGCACTGGATTTCTTTCAGAGTTACTGAATAAAAGAATGCAACTGTTTTCGTTATTTACTTAATCATATTTAGTTACTTGGATTTCTGCCTTTTTTGTCTCGCCTTTGTCGGATTCTCTAGTGGTTCTCAGTCTCTGGACAAACCTGTGCCTTTTGCCTGACTCCGCCTCTCTTTCTAGCCCTCCAGTATTTCTGCACATCGGATTCTTGACTCAGGACAGTGCTCTGAGTTTTGCCCACAGGATTGTCCCATTGAAGTCTCTGCCTCTCAATTCAATTCAGTTTATTTCTATAGCGCCAATTCAGAAGACGTGTCATCTCAGGGCACTTTACAGCTCAACCGGATCATAGAGTTAAATTGATTAAATGTTTTCTAACTAAGGAAAACCATTGGATTGCATTGACTCACTGACTCGAATGTCATCCCTAACTCTAAACATGCTTGTAGCGACAGTGGAGAGGAAAAACTCCCTTTTAACAGGAAGAAACCTCCAGCAGAACCAGGCTCAGTGTGAGCGGCCATCTGCTGAGGCCGACTGGGGTTCAAGGAGACAGAAGCAGAGACACAAAAAGACTGCCTCTGTCTACCAGTGTTCAATATTGGACTGAATCTTGATCCTTTCCTTTGTGGTTTCAGGAGAGTAACCTCTGCTACCCTCGGCAGCCCTAGCATCAAGTGGTTTGTGGACTCAAACAAGTGCTACACCATTTGTTACATTAGCTTTTAAAACGTTCCCTCTGTGTCGTGTGAATTATTGGATCCTACACCAGTTAACCTGGCAGTACTAGAATAAATGAAATTGAAGAATTTTTGTTTTTAATAATGGAGCTCATAGGAAAATTATGAATCATTTTCAAATTTATGGAGTGATTCTGTTTCATTATAAGATAATAAGGTATTTTGGAAATGGAAATTTGAAATAAGTTGCAGTCCAGAAAACTGAAAAAGAGTTTGGGAGTCATTTTGCTGTTTTCTCTTATTTTAATTTATTTGCTTTTTTCACTTCTGGGGGTGGGCTTTCCTTCCTTCTGTTTATCTGCTTGGACTATTTATGTCATAAGGGGTTTAAGCGATCTGACCCACATGCAGAGAACCACTCAGAGACCGAGGGAAACATTTTAACAGGTTTATTGAATGTTGATGAAACACAGAAGTAGGAGCTGGAACTCAGTGGACTGGTGAACCGGAACCATAAAGTCTGAAGGAGAGGTCACAGTGATCAGTTCAGGGACCGTAGGAAAATTGACTGAGGCTTGAATATAGCTGGAGAGAATCTCACATTTGGGGGGGCTCTTGTTAATCCTTGAATCCAGTTTGTGGGGAATGAATCCAGAGGAGAGGGAACTCGTTGGAGAGCAGACAGGTAGGTATACGTTGGACCCAGAGGAGTAAAGGTGCGGACTGTCACTTGGTTTTCCGATGAGGACTTGAACGGATCATGTGGAGGTTTACCCTTGCTCAGTGTGTACTCAGTAATCCTTCCAGGGGGAGAAGGTCCAGGTTATTCAGTTACACAGGAAAGGCTTCCTGCCAAAGAGCAAAGACAAAAACAAGATTAGACTCAGAGGAACAAAGCTTTGGTTAGACTCAGCTAAACTAAGCTTGGCTATATTACCCAAAACTAGCAAACACTCTGGTGTCGAGGTAGTAACAGCCCGCTGCTCAAATACTCCTCCGGTAATGAACCGGTGTGCAGGGAGGCCCAACGAGGAACAGGGCACCACCTGGTGGTGGAGAGAGAAAAAAACACAAAAACAACACACACAAACTGGATTCCTAACAATTTAATTTTTTATTGGTCAACAGTGAGCGTTTGTGAAGAGAAGGGGATCTGTAAAACACATCTGAAAAGAAATGCCATTTGTAAAACTCTGTGTAAAAAAGTGAAGATTTAAAAAATACTTTTTTTATGTGAAAACATGAGAAAAAAAAGTATCACAAAAATTTTTTTTTTTCATAAGGTTTTCAAAGTTAAATTTCTGGATTGCTTTTCTATTTTTTCAAAGTTATTAGCACTATCTTTTTTTTTAAATACCTTATATAAAACAATAAGGTTTGTGTTGTGACTAATAATTATGTCTAAGGGCAATGGAAACTTTTAACAGGCACTGTCATTTACGTAGGTACATCTATTGTCCCTTGGTGTATTTTCTACTGATTACATACCCGTATTAAATAGTAAAGAGGAGGGTCTGATATCTGTGGCATCAACACAATAGAATAGAAAGCATTCATGAGGGTCCAAATATAACTGCAACATGCGCAGAGACACGGTGGCCGGGCCCAGATCTCACTGTTTCCTGTTTTAGAGGCATGTGAGGGGCTCAGCTTCCCATTGTTGCAGCTGGAACCCATAGTCAGTAATGGTATCTAATTATAGCTGCACATAGCCATTTAAGTTTTAATCCTGTGCTGACAGCACAGCAGTAAAGAGGCAGTGGGACCCGTCAGATCCGAGTCCTAATGTTACTGCAAACTTCTTTAAGTGTCTAAATATAACAGAGGCTGTTTGGGGCAAACGCTATGTATCCTTAAAAGGTTTCGAAGAGAGGGGTTTATTAGCTAGAATGAGGAGCTTCAGCCCATTAGGCAGAAAGTGCCCCCCGGCTGCTTTAAGCCTGCTTCTTATAGAACTCATTTCAGAGACAATAAAATGTCTGTTCAAGGTTTTCACACTGATCTCTATACAGGCACATCTGCAGCCAGCAGACTATGTGTTCTGAAGCAAACATTTTAGAAAGTTTGAGTCACATTTTTATGTCCAATGTTTGGTCATTAGCTTTTGTTTCCGTCTCTTTTTAGTCGTTGATTTTGAATGTGATACCTTAATGAGGATCCAACAGATCAGACAGGGAACAACGAGAATAGTCTTCAATAGAAATACTTGGACTTGATCATTATATGAATCATGGCAGAGCAATATATATCCTGGAGTACAAGACCTCTCAACTTTCAGGCATGAAGGGACGCCAGAAAGGAACAAAGGGTAGCATTGATGACAACTCTAATTCCATAGAGGTGGGTAGGGTACCTGTCGTAGTTTTACTGAAGTAAAAGTTAAAAGTAGTATCTAAGAAAATACAAGAGTAAAAAAGTATTTGGTAACTAGGCAAAACAAGGCTAGTTATTTATATAGTGCATTCAGTACAAAGACAATTTAAAGAAGGGTGAGTATTGGTATACGTGTTGCGATACTTGGGTCATGATACGATATTATTACAATAATGAAATGTCCCTATATATTGCGATGTTTTTCCTAGCTATTGAAATTAAATGCATACATTAAAAAAGCAAGTTTTACTGTGACAGCCTCGACTACAGAAATGGTACTGGGTTATCTGCCAGAGTGGCGGTGCAGAGGTAGCCCATTTTCCCTCATTCTTTTAGGTAGAAATGTTTTTATTCAATTTTTGACGATATTAGGAAGGTCATGATCGATATTATATCTGGCAGACCAAAATCCCGATATATCACCAAATCAGTTTTTTCCCACACCCCAAATTTCAAGTGTTTTGGATTAATTAAACTATAAAATAGCTTCCATAGATGCAGCTCACCAGCTCATTAGCTACACTCTCCTATCAGCTTAAGAGGAGCAGGAGCCCAATTGTGAAGATGCAGGACAGAGGGACCCAGAATTCAAGGCAAGACAGTGGAGGTAAGATGGTGTGATACTTCAAAACTTTAATAAAAAAATAATTAAAAAAAAAAGCAAGCTGTGGATCCGGGGTTGCTGCAGCTAGGCCATCTATAACTGGAAGCTCTGGTTAAAGAGAAACACAGGTTAGTGACCATGACAATCTGACAGGGGATGATTATCCATGTGAGTCACTAACCTGGTTTAACAGTTCAGTCCTTCTCCGGAAAACGAGGTAGGATCCAGCCAGTAGGCTGCCAACGAGATGCGGCGTCACTGCCTAGAGTGTCCCAGATGCTGCAGCCCCGGAGGACAAGCAGGAAGATTCAGAGGTCCGGTCAGGGATAGCAATCAGAACAGGAACAGGCTGGTTTAGGATTCCAGGAGTCCACAGACAGTTCAGGCAGAACGTTCAAGGTATACTATGCAACCGGTGTTGATTTTCCAGCGAGGCTCCCCCAAGAGGGCGAAAGTAAAAGTGCACTGTCGTAAATATGCTCAGCTGTTCTCCTGGTTTCTCCGTCAAGCCAGGCGCGGTTGTTTTGAGCTTAGCAGACAGGCGAACGCAACGAATGACTAACACAGGGAAAGTATGAACATGCACACAGAGAGAGAGAAACCATTCCAATGTTACTTACAATCGCATCAGCAGAAACGCGAGGTCCGCGTCAGCCTTGCAGCCTTGTTTTTATTTTAGCTCTCGCCATTCGGAAAAAGCTTGCCCGATGTTCACCCGTGTACGACTCCTCTCTCTGTCCGGAGCCCTTTTCCTCTTTCTTGCCTGCTCCAACATGGGCTTTCGCTGTTTTCACGCTGGTTCCGCCATGATAACTGCACAAATATCGCCACTGTGCTAGCAACGAGCATGCTTTTAACTGGGGGTGTGTAGCAGTTCTCGCCGCAAAGCAAGACCGACTCTCGCGAGACTTCCGAGCCTGTGGGTGCGGGCCGAGGGCTCCTGCAATTGCAAGTACGGTATTTCCCCTACAGACCACCAGGGCGTCCGAGAAAACCTTTGTTCGACCTGAAATGACTCATTTAATCATCCAAAAGGTTATGAAACACATTAATTAACTGAGAAAATGTTGCATAGTATGCCTTTCAGATGGGAACCAGCACGCTCAGTGGATGAGAGGCAGATCAGGATCAGGAAATCAGAAACACTACAGAACACTAAAAATCCTCTCTCCATTGCCCCCCGAGAAGAAAACAAGCTAATCTGGCCCTGATAGCTGGAAGCGAGTACCTTAAATAGACGCAGAAGCAGGTGAATCAGATGAGCGGTAATGAGCAACCAGGCAGGGTTAGACAGGTGAAAGGAATGAGTTATTAAGCCAGCCATCACATATAGTCACTGCGAACTGATGGCTGAGTCTTTTATTCGTTCCTGGAACAAGGGAGGAGGTCTTTCAAATCACTGGAACTGTCTCCAGGGTCAAACTGAGGGTGAAGAGCTGCTGTAGAATCCCACAGAGCTGCTCAGCACAGGCATTCAGGACTCTGGGGGTGACTGAATTATAATTCAGTCTCTCCAGTTGCCTCTTCTCTCAATGTCAAGATACAGACATGTGAAAGATGGAGGGAGAAGCACCATCTTCTAATTCGGCTGATAGATTTGATGGCAGAGGAGGACAGAATGTCCATGTGACTGTGGGCACGAGAGAAGGATGCTGAGCTTGATCCTGAACTGAATCTGTCAAATAATATATTCAGTTAATCATCTCTGTCCAGATTCCATCTGTCTGATCATCCTTCTGCTTGAGTCTCTTCTTCATCCCTGACCACACATCTCTGAGATTGTTCTGCTGGAGCTTGCTTTCCAACCTTTTCCTGTAAGCCTTGTTCCTTTCTCTTATCTTGACCTTAAGTTGCTTCTATATACTCCTCATTATTTCCCTGTATCCCTTCTTAAAGGTACACTATGCAACCGGTGTTGATTTACCAGCGAGGCTCCCCCCAGAGGGCGAAAGTAAAAGTGCACTGTCGTAAATATGCACAGCTGTTCTCCTGGTTTCTCCGTCAAGCCAGGCGCGGTTGTTTTGAGCTTAGCAGCGAATGACTAATGCTGCGTTCACACTGGACGTAGCTGGCGCGACAGAAGCAGCGAGTTTACATGCAAAGTCAATGGTTGAAGCGCGTCAAGGCGCAGCAAAAGGTCCCGCGGCGCGTTTTGAGCTGCAGGCGCAGCACGTCTGAGCAGCTGAAGCAGCGCGTCGGGCTAAGCATCTGACGCAGGGAGAGAGACACAGCGCTGATGATCAATCCTCTTTTATTGACGCCTAAATTAACTTAAAATGCAGAAATCTGCCGGCAGAATATGCAGTTTGGATTATTTAGATGAAAAACACCTACCAGCTGCCGTGGTGAACCGCGAGGAGCCAACCCGGCCAGAGGCTGCTGATGAAGGGATCCCTACTTTCGGCGCATCCCTCCCAGATAGCAAAATTCTTTTGGTCCATATCTGGCCCACATCTGACATGTTCATCCGGTCCACATACCGCATGGAATGATGGCACTTGGGAGGTCCGCTCCTGTATGCCAGAAGTGGGCCACAACAAAGCCGGCACAATGCCAAATGTCAACCAAAAACAGGCCAAATCAGCCAGCACTAAACCAAATGTGGGCCGATGTACACTTTTATTCTGGCCCAAGTATGGCATGGAATGATGGCACAAGTGTGGTCCACAGTTGTTTGCCAGAAGTGGGCCACAACCAAGCCAACACATTGCCAAATGTCAACCAACATCAAGTAAAGCAGAACTCACCCAAATGTGGGCCACCACTGTACATTTTTATTCTGGCCCACATCCCACATGGAATGATGGCACAAGTGTGGTCCACAGTTGTTTGCCAGAAGTGGGCCACAACCAAGCCAACACATTGCCAAATGTCAGCCAACATCAAGTAAACCAGAACTCACCTGAATGTGGGCCACCACTGTACATTTTTATTCTGGCCCACATCCCACATGGGATGATGGCACAAGTGTGGTCCACAGTTGTTTGCCAGAAGTGGGCCACAACCAAACCAATAGTGCCAAATGTCAGCCAAAAATAGACCAAATAAACCACCACTCACCCAAATTTGAGCCACTATGCATTCCTATTCTGACCCACCTACCAAATGGAATGACCACACTTATTTCTCACATTTGACCCACAGCCTAGTCATAATGCTACATATCAAACAAGAGCAGAATACATTAGAACTCACTCAAACAGGAGCCTGTTGGTCTGACTTACCCAGAACTGGTTTACAGTCTACAATCTTGTCTTTCCTGCACACTTTGGAGTCACAAACAAACCATTACAAAATGTTAAATATAAACACATCGTATGAATAAACCAGAACTGGTCTGAATTTGTGGCTGAATGTCATTATGGTACCTCCAGATACTTTTAAATGGTGGCAAGCAGTAGTCCAGCCTTGTTGGTCTCAGGATCAAAGATGAAGATACCTACTGAAGAATTAACTAAATAACCACACAAGAAACAATTTGTGAACAGTAGAGATTCTTTTTTATTCTTTTTTACTCATGTCACAAAACAGACAAAACAAAACAAGCATTTAGATTAACATGAATATTCAGACAAAATGCAGAACACTGTTGTTGACCTCCAACGCTCACTCCAAAAAAGTCATGGCCCCAACATTGTTTCATCTTCATCTGGCCCTTTAAGAAATGCACAAAAGAACATATTTTGTTGACTGAGTAAAGCAGTACTGTGGTTATATGGTTGCAGTGAAGTACAAAAATCTTATCAGGAGACCAAACATAAAAGGCCCTGTAAAGTGATATGCTATAAATATGTACAATATAGTGTTTAGGGATGGGCACAATTAATCGATGATCGATAATAGATCATATAAAACACCGTTATAAAACACTGTTTATAGTTCATTCATATAGTGTACGTCTTGAATCTGTAAAACATGTCACAATGTGCCAGGTAATTAAATATCCGACCAGCGGGGGGCGATGTTGCCCAAAGACAGCAGAGAAAGCCTGAAGTTACAGTAATAAAACATTATCACTGCAACGATAAGCGACAATAAAAACTACCAGCAAAATATTTTGTATTATAAATCTGTCACTAAATTCTGTCTTGAAAGCCCTACAAAATACTAGAAACCACTAAACTATATAAATTAAGTTCAAGTACTGCACCTGTACTGCAAAACTGTAGTGATACCAATCAACTACCTTTTCTTATTAAAAAAATCAAAGTGGTGCAACTGCAAACACAACCTGATAAATAGTCATCTCATGAAAAAACGATAAATTCAAATTGTTATTGTGGGGAATTTCTTTGACGATATAGCGCACACAATAAAATATCGCCCATCCATATAAAACGTACAGTATTGTACGTAGGTATTGTAGCTGACTTACCTGCGAGCTGTGTGGAACGCCTTTTCTCCTCTCTCTTTCTCCTTCCACCATCCCTGTCTCCGGCGAGATGAAGCCACCTTTTTATATAAGCCTCCACCTCCTGGTCTGTTGCAGTGGCTGTTAACTGATTGTTTCTGACTGTTCCTAAAAAAAAAATAGAAAACTGTAAAGCTTTGAATACATTGCACACAATAGTGAGAAATTGGCTAACTGCATGACATGCTATATCCTGCCCATAGTTAGACAGCAATGAATGTAGTTTGAAAACAGTCTAGCCATGACCAGCTAATTACTAAAACTGTAGGAGGAAAACTGATTGCAGACCAGAGCATCTTAGAACAGGGGACAGATAAACAGCTGGAGGAGATGATGAAGCACATAGTTATCGAAATTTTTATTAAGGTGCAGATCACTGATACTTTGGCGCATAGTAGCCTGTGTCTTCTCTAGAGTCTCTTCTTCAAGTCTTCAAGTCTCTGAACCGACTTGGAGCATGATAAAACAGCCCTCACTATTTGCTTGTCACTTAGAGACTTGGTTTTGCAGATGCAGCAAAAAAAAAAAAAAAAAAAAAAAAAAAACAAGCAATGGCATCCTATTAGAATACAATAGAATATTGTCTGCTACCACACTGATACATAATCATCCACACATGCATTTTGATAAATTGATATGATTAATTTCAGCACCCATATCTACTCACAAGCATGAAAGAAAATGAAGAAAGGATTTATAAGACACATCACTAGGAAATATAACCCACAATTAACACTTACCAGTGATTACATCTTTTAACTGGAGGCTGTGGAATGCCGTTTTCCCATTCACGCCACGCCAGTTAAGTTGTTTGGCCAGGGAGTTGGTGAATAGATTTTTCATAATCCGCCACACTGTGTCCTTGATATCAACTCCACCGATGACACTCAAAGCAGCAGTCTCAGCAAAAAAAAAAGAGAACATACATGATCAACACAAGCAGAATTAAACTTTTAACATCTTGTTAAAAAAGTTCAAATATCAAATATATAAACAAGGAGGAATCGTCACAAAAAAGCCATTTCATGCTCAAAGGGAGGGTCTGACTAATGTTTGGTAACAAAACATTGGTGAAATGGAGTTTGTGGCAGATAATGATTATTTAAGGCTGCGCTGATCTGGAGTGGATCTATATATCCCCTGAAGGAATTTAAGTTGCACGAAAACTGTCTGGGCGAGGAAATGAACGTATTTCATCCTAGAAAATAGTACCAGGTTGAAAAAAAAAACGAATAAGGAAATTCACCTTTAAGCCAGCTCCTTTGTTTCCTGTCTTTTATTACTGGACAAACTGACTAATCCAGGTGTGCCTGACCTCAGTAACTGGCCAGACACACCTGGATTAATCAGTTTGTCCAGTAATTAAAGACAGGAAACAAAGGTGATGGCTTAAGTTTGGAAAGTTCTGGATTTGTGAATAGAGCCCATTTATGGTCAAAGCTAACAATTAATGTACTCAAACTGTACAGTCTGATCATCAAACACGACCACAAAGCTCACACTTTATGGATGAAAAATGTCCAAAGACTGACTGCTCTGTCTATTGACAGCTGTCAGTAAATATTTATTTCAATAAATCAATACATTTTCAGTGAAGTCATTTCAGTGTGCTATGGTTTATTTTTTTTACCTGAGATATCCATGTAACCAGCTGATCTTCATTTTTGGATGTGCAGGAGGAATTTTTTTTCCCACAGATGTACAAAACATGTATCCAAACACTCTTTAGTTTAGAATAGTCTTTACTCAAATAAAAAAAAAATCTAGCATAAACACCAGCACTCACAAAATAGTTCTAGAGTGAGAGATGAATTGTTACCATTTTCTGTTTAAAGTCCGCCTCTTCCCTGACCCGCTTCTCCAAAGCCAGTAAAGAGCTGATATCCTTAACTGGGAGGACATCTTTTTCAAGGACCTCCTGCCCACCAACAGGTTGTCCATGGATCTTGTTCAGGGTCAGGGTAATAATTTTGATCTGCTCCATGATAAGCTCTTGGTTTGTCAGGAGCCTACACAGAAGAGCTAAAACAACATACAATAAAATAATTAAAAAGAAAGAGGCATTGGAAGATGAAAAAATTTGTGAGACAGAGAGGGTATGTGCATTAGTGTACAAATACAATCACTTACGAGCAAGGTTTGAAGCACCTGCAGCTGACAGTTCATTGCCCCGACTGGTTCCTGGTTGTTGTGGGCTAGCATTGGGCAGTGGTCTTGCCACTGATGCAGGTCGTTGGGGGCTAGGGGCCCTTCTCTGTGTTACACTGAAGTCTGGCCGTTGAATTTTGGGGGCTGCAGGTAGTGATGATTTTGGTGCAGGTGAGTCGCTGTCGCTGTCGCTTTGAAATCGCATGTTTGGTCTAGTGTGAGAGGAAGAGGGGAAGAGGAAGAAATTGAAAGTATAAAACATTTGTAATTGGTAAGTTGTTGCACTGAACTTGTATTGCTTTAGGTATAGCACACATCAGACTTCTTAGCTCTATTACTTTCATTAGCAAGGGCAGGAGAATACCTTCAGTAATCACTCACTACACATGAGTCAAAAACCTTATGAGAAAGAAGATAATTGCATCTGATGATACACATTGATCTAAGACCACTACACCAAACTCTACACTATAGGGAGTCCGGTGTAAGTTGAGTTCCTTCTCATATTCAGGATCACTACATTAAAACAACAGGCTCTATGCACAACTCCATCATTTTCTGAACTTCAGGAGGCTCCTTTGTTTCCTGTCTTTCATGATTGGATGCACTGATTAATCCAAGTGTGTATGACCTAAGTAACTGGCCAGACACACCTGGATTAATCAGTTCGTCCAGTAATGAAAGACAGGAAACAAAGGAGCTACCTTAAATTCAGGAAGTAGTGGAGCTGTGCA